TGAAAAATACTTTCATCCAAAAAGGGACCTACAGGTCACATAATAGCTTCAAAAAATTTTTATAAACATTGTTTGCTAGCAACAACTCAACATAATCGTAAATATAAAGCCCAAGTGACCATTCTTTGAAGAATCAGATTACAATTCACATTAGCATACGTACTGTTTTGGTATGTTCATCGCCCTAGCAACATTACCCGCTAAAAAAAAAGTAGTGACCCTAAACATTATCGGCTCTTATCATGCTTCTTGCAGTATAATCTGATAATTACGCTAAGGCCGCGTAAGCAAAGCACACAAAAAACAAAGATCAAACCGACAGGCTTCGCAAGCACAAAGAACGAAGAACACATCTGTAACTTGTATAGGGAATAGAGTTTAGAAAAAAATGAAGAGCTTACCGCTTTACCGTTATTAAAAGCGAGCTGAAATGCATAAGCATTGCGATTTCTCGGATAGGAAAAAGTGATAGTAATATTGCCACTCCAAATTCTCTCGGTTACCGCTGCCGGTTAGCTTCAAAAAACATGTGTAATTAATATTTCGACAATTGATACAATTCGTAATTTCCGTTCAACCGTTGATGTGGTAAAACTATGGTATCCAGCGAATTTCTTATGCCGTAATCGGACTCATTTACGATCCAAATTATCTTCGCATCCGAACCATAAAATGTTGGGACTAAAGATAGGAACTCTACTGCTATAAAAAGAGGTTACACGCCCTCATGGGCGCTTTTGAGGAGCAGTTGTTGAAGACTATCTACTGACATGTCTCGAAAACCGCAGCTAAGCATCAAATACCTCAGTAAGTCCTTTTTATCCACTCTAGTACTCCAAATAAGTTTTGTGGTCTACATTATCAATCTATATCTCGCCTAAAGGCAGATGCTTCTTTACTGATTCTCTTCTTACGCTTCTCATCAGATAGCCCCATGCACTGATCCAACAAAGACAGAAATAAATCTGATGATGATTTCTTCAAAAAGAAAAAAAAAGAGAAAAGAACGCCTTTTGTTTTCTCAGAGAAGCTCTTTCACAACTACGCAGAAAATGGATCTACCCTTACAAAGGACCAGGCGGCTGCGGCAATAGCTGAATTGCCCGAGGAAAACAGGCGATTCAAGCACTTCAGCAAAGATTTTGATGAGCATGCAAATGAAGGACACCTCACGTTCACAGGTGAGAAGAACCATTTTACTTCTGTGAGTCATAGACTTGTTTAAGGATTTCTGCATTTTGTTGATCCAAATGGTCAGACCCATGCGAGGAAACTCAAAAGAGACACATCGGTGAGCGAAAGATCTATTAGTGATGACTGGACAGAATGCACAACTGCGAGATTGACAGAGGAAAACTCTGCAAATGATTGTAAACAACTTGAACTCGTTCAGAAACAACACAAGACTACTGAGAAGAAAAGTGCGAAAGGCAGCCGCGGCTCCAGCTCTTCTGAGAGCGATACTGAGAACGAAGGCGAAGGAGCGCATGATGAGGGCATCCCTAAACTGACCAGCTCATCCGAAAGCAAGCCTACGCACGACGAAAATCAGCAAGGGACACATGTGCACAAGCATCACGAGAAGAAGCACCATAAGCATCATGTGAAGGCGCATGAGAATGATACTTCTTCCAGCTCGAGCAGCTCATCGGACAGCGAGCCAGA